GCTAGGCTAAAGGAGGCGCTCCAAGGAAGCTCGGCTGAGGACATTGTGGCCCAGATGTTTGACGGGCCAGGCGCATACGCTACTGCTTGGGCAGAACTTGACCAGTGGTATGGGGGAGAAGACCGCCACCTGGAACTACAGGAGAAGGCAATCCTGAACCATCCCAGAATCGCAGACCGTGATTCAGAAGCCCTGCGGAAATTTGCTGTCAAGCTCAGAAATGTACTCATGAACCTGGACTTGGCTGGAGATACCCCTGGTAGGGAGCTATTCCTAAGTGCGCTGGAGAAGCTACCCAGAAGTGTAGTTATACAATTTTACGAACCACATCCAGACAGCAAATGCAACGCAACCACATTGTCGTTCTGGCTGGTAAAACGGGTCCAGAACGCGAGATGATGACATCTTGGTAACAGTCGGCACAGAGAAGTTGAACAAGACACCTCCTGCGGTCCCGCCAAAGCCTAGGTCATCTGCTGTGTATGCTGTGGAGTTCAGTACTCAGCAGTGTGCCAAGTTAAGCAAGAGCCATGCCACAGCAGAGTGTCCGGAATTCAGGGCGCTGACAACCAAGCGCCGCTGGGACCTGGCCAAGCGTGCCAAGCTGTGTAGCTGTTGTTTGGAGCATGGACACTGGGCGCGTGAGTGCCAGAAGCTGGAACGTTCCCACTGTGGAGAGAGGCACCACTCACTTCGGCACTACAGCAAGTCAGTGCAGCCACAACAAGCTGCAGCGCAGAATCCCGCTTCGATGCGGTCAGCAGCCAGTGCCAGTGAAGATTATTGGCCCAACTGGCAAGTCGGCAATCTGTACGGCCATGCTGGACTCAGGCTCGACTGTAAACTTCATACGGGAGGATGTAGCCCATGAGTTGGACATGGCAGGTGAAGTTCACATGTTGAACACATCCACGATTGGTGCACAGCAGACCTCCAGCTATCGGGAACTGGTCAAGGTGCAGATGGAATCCATTGATGGAACAGTGTCATACCCGCTCAAGGATGCGTATATGACCGTGTGACCAAGAAGACGCAGGTCGTCGACTGGAGCCGGCACAAGTCCAGCTATGAGCATCTGAAGTTCATAGACTTTCCCGAAATCTCCAGCACCATGGTCGACCTCCTGATCAGTCTGGACGTCATTGATGCCCACGCATCACTCGCGGAGTACAGAAGCAGCAGCGGTGGACCAATTGCCGGCAAGACGCCACTGGGATGGGTGTGTATGGCCCAACGCCCAGTGCACCCAGTGATGACGAGTTGTCCGTCAACTATGTGCATGCTTTATACGACGAATGCAGCATAGACAGCCTGGTCCAGAATTTCTGGAATCTGGAGGCAGTCGGTATGAAGCACGAAGGCACCTACATCACCTCTGTAGAGAAGCTGGCTGAGGAGATCGCTGCGAAATCCATCAGCTTCCATGATCAGCGAGTCACCATGGCAGTTCCATGGATCCACAGCAACGGCGAGCCTAGTGTCACCGATAATCGCGCCATGGCAGACCATCGCGTGTGAGCGGCACTACAGCTCAACGACAGCGCTACGGGTAGATGTGGAATGCAGTGTGAAGTAGCTACGGGTAAATGTGGAGTGCTATGTGCAGTAAACGCAGGCGGCCACGCGCTGAGAGAGCGTTACGTGCGTGTTAACTACAGTTAACATGCGCTGAGAGATCGTTACGTGCGTGTTAACTACAGTTAATGCTACGCCTCAACTGAGATTTTTAACACTTATTGGTTGTGATTCGGCTGACAACCCTCTAGAGGTTACCCTGCGTACGTGCCTGGAATGTGGAGAAGATGATGTCACTATCAACCATTGTCAGGAATGCCAATGATGCAGAGTAAGTGGTCAACATTGACCTTATGAAGCTAGACTCAGCTCCTGTATAACCAGACACTGCGGATGTCCACAGCGCTCAGCCGAGCCCTGCCGAGAGTGACAGTGAGAGTGACACTAGTGATAGTGGAGCCTGGGGCCTGAAATTTGACGGCGGAGGCAGTGACTCAGTACCAATGCGATATTTTTCTGGAGTATTGGCGTCTGGAGGGAGAGTTGTAATAGATCGACTAAGTAACTGTCGACGCCACCTCATCTATCTATCTCTCTCTCTCTCTCTATCTATCTATCTATCTCTATCTCTCTGTCTATTCCTTTCTTTATATCAAACACATTTACTGTTGATCACTACGTACCAATTATTGTTAGGCTTTGTATTATTAATTCGCGCTGTGGTCGTGACGTTCTTCCTTTTTCCAGTATTATTGTGCGTGCACATGGTGATGTACGTCGCCATTGTGTCCGTGTCATAATGTTTTGCAAGCCTTTATCCTTTTTCTCTAGCTCTTTTAGTTTTATATATTGAGGCCGAGTTTTCCGCATCCGTAAGAACGCCACCACCCTTCAAGGATCAAGGCGCAGATGCAGCTGCGAAGATGCAGATGCAGAGGCAAACCGTGAATTTTTTTTTTTTTTAAAGTTTTATTTCTTCTTGTGCAAAACCAAGTAACTAGTCCAATGTCGAGTGGGCAGTGAGTGTTGCATGTTGGCCAGTGTAGACAGGGTAGTTGACAACAACACCAACCATAATGACATTGCTCTTGTATGTGCATGACTGCTTACTTTCACTTTCTTTTTTTGTGGTGCCATCCATGCAACGTCAACATATTTGTTTGCTTCTAGACCAGGCAGACACAGTGGGTTGGTCAAAGACCATGATTGAGATACGAGAGGTACCTGGTTCAAGTCCCGCCTGGGAGCGGTTTTTCCAGCCGTGCTGCTACCCACAGTCAACTGGGAACTTGTGGCCAGGCACAAGGGGTACATGGATGCAGCTAATAGGGTCGTTCTCGGCACTTGTGCCAGTGGTTGTGAGACTTATCCACTCACCCCCACCGTTAGGCGCTGCATCTGCCGCTAGGGTTTATCGGGTGTTAGCGGCTGTCGTGAGTTCTCTTCGGGAACGGATACGATAATTTACTTCTTTTTTTTTTCATGCTAGGTTTTACACTCCATTTCTCTAATAAAATCGTCTTACATACGGTAGATCGGGAAGTTTAGCTCTGCTCTTTCTAACCGGCATTGGCTTCACTGTCTTGTTCCCGCTCATTACAAGTCAGCTATGGCTCCTCATAAGCCAGCTGCTGTCCATTGCTTGGTATTTCACTTCACAACTATTGTAAGTGTGTTGCGGGGATTCCCGAGCTAGTTCCAGGCAGCAGTGTGGCATTGCTTTCAAGCTTGTTGAACATTTGCATGGCAATTCAAGTTACTCAAAGCAGCTCCCTATCTCCCCAAAAGGTCGTTATTGTCTGTGATAAGCTCGAAGGCATCAGGGATAGTGCAAGAACTTACTACCTCCGCTAAGCTTCTTTGCGTTTTTAGTGTTCTTGTCATGATATTTCTGTCGGTATTAGACATACATGTCAGTGATCTATCCCCTACATAGGGTAGCCGAGTTGTCGTCCATTGTTCTGACAGGCTTTTGAACCTCCAAAAAGCGTGGAGTCCTTTGAAAAAATCGGCGAAGCAGAACCGTTTCTCGACAGGATGTCACCAGAACACAACCCCAGGCGTGCGCGCATGACAGCAAAGTACGAAAGTGAGAAACAGTTTGAAATACCGCTGGCTCGAAGAAGTATCCAGGAGCCGGCCAGCGCTCAGGCACTGCTGTACTAGCACGAGTCGATGGTGCGCATCCACACACAACCATAATCAATGCACTTTTGTTTGCAGCGCAGAGGAAATCAAAAATGTTCGACATTCATGTTGTCATGCAGTCGGCGCAAAATCCTGATCTCAACCTCGACGACTTGGCGTTCTTCCACAGCCTGTAGACAGCCGTATCACTCGTGGCTAAGGAAACCTAAAAGGAGCTTCTGCAGGGTGTGGAAACGTTCTGGCACGAATACACCCCTGCGAAGATGGGGAGCGTTTGTTTGCGTCTGTGTGGCTCCTTCCATGGCGTTCCGGAGAGTGGCCACAACTACCAGCGCCACCGTGGAGGTCATCAAGCTCACAGTTCGAGCGAAGAACTTGGCGATCTCCACGATCAAATCGTGTCTTGGCAATTTGTAAATGCTGCGGTACAAAAGCTGGCAGCGCTGGAGGTGAAAGTCAGTGAGGCTCCAGACTTGATGTCATCAGTGAGTGTAAGTCGTCATCGAAGAGTGAAACTGGACGGCTTTGAAACGAGCTGTGTTTCATCTGTCATTATATATCTTTCATATGCTGCTTTTTTTCACTTTGCAAAGCGTGTTCGTAGCCATAGAATGATTTGGACTGAACTGTAAAAACGCAACGAAGTTTTGCTTAACGGAGGAAGTAATATAAAAGAAGCCTCCAAATTAGCCCAATCCTCTGCTGCCAACGACAGGCAATTCAAAAGCACAGCGATGATGCCTGCAATGAACAAAAAACTGGTGCAACATTGGCATACCCGAGTGTTCTCCCCATGTGGGTTGGTAGATTGGTTTTGTTCAGGACAAGAAAGTACGCCACTGGAAATTCAACCAACCAAGTTTGGCTGAGACTTCTTCATGCAGATTTACACAAACCACCAGTATTGTACGGGTTACGCACAAAGACATGACTGATTGTGCTGTTCAACTATCTTACCTGCCACTGGAAGTGTAACATTATGCAGGTGTACAAAGTACCAAAGAATTCCAATCTAGTAGCCGGTTGCTTTACAGAACCATAATTGTGTTCAGTGCGATTTCACATGAAAACATACACCAAATCTCATCAAGACACTGGACTTATAAGTATTTTTGAGGTGACCCAAGGAACTCAATAGTGTTGTCTAGGCTGTTGAAGATAGTGAAAACTGTTGTTCTCCTTGGAAAATGTTTTCCAATTGTGCACGTCTTATTGTGCGTACAACAGATGAACATGAGACCTGATACACATGCACTGGACCTCACTATGTACACCCATATAATCTGACTTTTCTGTTCATACACTAACAAGGATGCACCAGGGATATCCTGACTTACATTATCCTTTGGGTCCAACGAATGTCCAGAATTAAGTAGATGTTCTGCTACGGAAACATGATCTTTCCATGCTGCAAATTGTAATGGTGTGTTACCATACTAGAAGTAGCATTGTTAATGAATACAAACCGAGTACACACAAACACACATAAACATACACAAATACACACATACACATGACGATTCACAAACACATAAAAATACGCATTTACATGAACACACACACACACACATACGCATGCACACATAGACACACACACACACAAATACACAACCATGCACACAACCATGCATGCGCAAAAACACACACACAGGAACAAAAAAACACAGCTAATGAGTAAAGGTAACACCGGCAATGGCATAGGGAGTTCTGGATCGTTGTCAATGAAGATTTCTTTGGGAATTGATGAACAATTTCTTTGGAGACAAGAATACAATTTTCACTAGTATACTTTCATGCCTGATCATCAGGTGAATACAGGCAAAATCTACTTGTAATGAACATGGCATGGCACATGTTGTGTGTAAGTGTGTGTGCTCGTGCATGTCACCGAATGTTGAGCACACACACGCAGGCGTACACATGTGTGTGCGCGCATGAGAGCATGCCGTTTACTATGCATAAATGTATGTAACTGCAGGTGTGTGTATGTGACGTATTTGTGTGAGCAAGGGGTACTTGTTTGTGAGTGTGAGTATGTCTTTCTCTTTCTCACTCTCTCTCTCTCTCTCTCTCTCTCTCTCTCTCTCTCTCAGTGCGCCACAATCTGATACAGTATGCTCTAACCCACTACAGCCTTCCTTTGCAATTCAGGAAATTAATTTTTTCCTACTACGACAGTCTTTGCGCTTTCGTCGTACAACCACACACACCCACCTTTAATTACAACATTGGTGTTTTCCAGGGGTGCCCCTTGTCCCCGGTCCTTTTCAATATTTGTTTCCAGCTTCTGCTGGACTCACTTGCAGCCCCTGAATTAAGTTGCCTCTCCTATGATTTTAAATCTGCCCCTTTGCAAGTGTCCCAAACAGCTTTTGCTGATGACTTAGGCCTCTATAGCAAATCTAGTGCAGGTTGTCAAAAACTCATTGCGGTCACGGAGGACTTTCTCTCGTGGACCCAATGTATGCAGGCGGCGCCGCACAAATGCAAAAGCAGTGCAGCAAAGCTTGTAGATGGCCGGTACAAACCTTACGATCCCTGCCTGACAATGTCAGGGAGGAAGATCGCTTTCATTGACACTGCAGAGTTCAAGTTCCTGGGGCGAAGGCTGCATGCTGATTGCTCTGAGCAGACCCAGCGGGAAGACATCCGTCAACTCACTGTATCTCTCATGCAAAAAGTAGATGGCTCTTGGCTTCAAGACCACCACAAGCTATGGCTTTACCACCATCTTGTAGTGCCCAAGCTTTCTTGGTCTTTCCAGGTTCTTGAACTCACACAAGGTTTTGTACGTGAACTGCACTTTATGTGTTTACCATTTCTGAAGAAATGGTCAGGCCTACCTCGATGCGCAAACTCTGCCATTCTTTTTATTGGCAGTCGCAAACGCTTTGGCTTACGCCTCCACTACCTTCCTACGGTGTGGAAAAAGTGCCAGTCCATCAAATGGCACATTCTTCGATCGAGTGGGGACGCGCGCATGAGGGCGCTGTACACTCTGCGTCGGAGTAAGGATGCGAAGCTGACAAAGCGATATGCGGCGACAATAGAGCTGGAGTGTGCAGAGGCATCAGTAGGTTCAGGGACTCGCCGTCCACCGTCATCTTCAAGTCATCGTGCAGGGTTGGGTGCTCCTGCTCCGAAGCAGCATTCCAAACCCCCGAGGAAGGATCTCCTTCAAACATTTGAGGAGATCAACGCGCAGGAGCAGATTTTGAGGCTGAAGACTCTTCAGGTGCAAGGCAAGTGGTTGGAGTGGACATCGGTGATGTGGCAGGACCTCTCGTGGAAATCCCTTTTGTACGGTGGTACTGGTAAGGATTTGAAATTTCTTCTCGCATCAACCCTCGACGTGCTACCTTCTCCGACGAACCTACGCCGTTGGGGAAACACCGTAGTGGATCCGTACTGTAGTTTGTGCCGTACCTGGGCCTGTACTACGCGCCACGTGCTTGGCGCTTGTCGCGTAGCGCTGGACCAGGGACGTTACACCTGGAGGCACGACAACGTACTCGGGGTCATCGTCAGGAACATGCGTGAGGAGATTCGAATCCGCACTGCTGCAAACACCGTACAAACCGAAAATTCAAATGAGCTTGACTTCATCTCGTTTTGCAAGGCGGGAGAGAAGCCAGTTCGCGTTCAGCCCAGACGAAAGTTGGTTACGACTGATCTCCTGTCAGCGGCCTCAGACTGGAAACTTCTTGTCGACTCAGTTAGTGCAAAGATTTCTTTCCCTAGCTGTGTTGCACTTACCACCCTAAGACCAGATATAGTTCTGTACTCTACGAGTCGTAGGATTGTATTCTGGATGGAGTTGACAGTTTGTGCTGAGGACAGATTCAGTGTCAGTAACTCGCGGAAGGACAGGCGGTATGCGGATCTGGCCGATCAATGCCGAGCAAACGGGTGGCAGGTCGTTTCTTTTTCGGTTGAGGTAGGTGTGCGTGGTTTCATCCCGGACTCTCTTCGGAGGGCTCTGAAAGCGCTTGGATTTTCTAATCGAAGAATAAAATTTATTTGTAATTTGTGCAGTAAGACGTCTCTGCGAAGCAGCTACATCATCTGGTTGCGGCGTCAACAAAAACACTGGTCGGAAGATCCACTTTTCTGAGGTACTGTATGTGGGGCTCCGTTTATTGAGGTGCGTTGAAATTTATTCTCTTTATCTTATTATTTCTTTTCTATAATTTCCCCATATGAGTTCCTATCAGTTGCTGTGAACACCTTGAGTGGAGAGCGCTTGCTCGAGCGTTGAACCGGGTTCTTAATCCACCATACCCAGTTCGCAAGGCTGGGCGGGGTTGTGAGCAGGCTTTCATTTCATCTTTTCTTATTATTTCTTATTATTTCTGCTTTTCATCTCATTACAAAACTTCTGCGCTTTTTCTCCATCTGCGCATAAAATCTAGACTGACAACCTGCTTGTTAAATCATGCACCTGCTTTCAGGCGTAAAAACCCTGTTGTAGAGGTCTCAGTCCTCATTTGTTAGACTTACCTGTCTTTATAAATGTAACTTACTCTCTCTCTCTCTCTCTCCCTCTCCCTCTCTATTCCTTTCTTGATATCGAACGTATTTACTATTGATCACTACGTATCAATTCTTGTTGAGCTTTGTATTATTCCCATAGCTATGCAGAAGACGTTACTTCAGTAACGTCTGGCGCTAGCCAAGGTCCACACAGCTTTGATTTGGTGTTTGTTTGTTTGTTTGTTTGTTTGTGTCACGCCTGGCGCTATCCCGTATCTGTCCCGTACCGTACCGTACCAGCAAAGACAGCTGGCCACAATATTTTTGTTTGTTTGTGCCATCGGCATGCCTGGCGCTATCCCGTACCTGTCCCGTACCATCAAGAGTACGGTACCATTAAGAGAATGAGTATATATGCGAAGTGTATCGGGGGAATGCATTCAGTGCAGTAACATTTTGTGTGGATTTGTGTGCGAGGCCGAGATCCCACTAGCAGGCTGGCTGGGCCGCCTGTCGACCAGCCCGGGAATCGCATGTAGGCCGATAGCATAATAATTATAACGTATAGATGTATAGCAGGGAGTTGTATTATGTAAACGACTCCCTTCTGTTTGGGGAGATTTTCTGGAAAGAAATACGAAGTAGGAAGACAAGTAAATAATGTATTTAGAATGAACGTTAGTTGCCGAATAGGTGTCTGGAAGCGTCAGCAAAATCATACTTTGGAAGATAGATCCCGTCGTCTCCAAAATAATCCTGACCGGGCGAGTCAGCGCCGGTCACAGGAAATGTCGGAAAAGAGATCCCGTCGACTCCAGAACGCCCGTGATCGGCAGAGTCAGCCCCGGTCACAGGAAACGTCGGAAGAGAGATCCCGTCGACTCTAGAACATTCGTGATCGGCAGAGTCAGCGTCGATCACAGGAAACGACAGGACAGACATCCCGTCGACTCCAGAACGCCCGTGATCGGCAGAGTCAGCGCTGGTCACAGGAAACGTCAGGACAGACATCCCGTCGACTCCAGAACGCCCTTGACCGTCAGAAACGAGACAGGTACGGGATAGCGCCAGGCATGCTGATGGCACAAACAACCAAAAATATTGTGGCCAGCTGTCTTTCATGGTACGGTACGGTGCGGGACAAATACGGGATAGCACAAGGCTAGGCGTGACACAAAAAAAGTTAAAAAATAAAAAATAAATACCAAATAAAATATTAATCCCGTAGCTATGCAACAGACGTTAGTTCAGTATGGTTTGACGCTAGCCACTAGCCAGGGTCTACACAGCTTTGACACGTTACCAGGTTACATGCTTTCATTTCTCTCTGCAAAGAGCACCTAGGGTTGCCTGTAAAAAGACGGCAACGTCTGTAGGGATTTAAAAAAAAAATTCTACTACTACTACTACTACTGTGCATGATGAGCAAGCAAAAGGAGAGACAGTACATTTAGAAGGCGGGTAAAGATAAGACAGAGAGTGTTAGGAGGAGAAGGAGAGAAAAGAAGGAAACACGTTATTGGGAGGAGTACATGGAGCGGAATTTAAAAATCATGGGGTGTGGCAGATATGATGCTGATACTCAGAGATGATCATGTGCCCACAATCAGTCGTTGGTCTTCAAACAGCGATTGGCTGCAACCTTGAAACTTTGTAAGTTGTTCTGCAAAATGGACCAGAGAAGACTCCGGCGGGCAGCTGGTTCCTGACAGGGAAAATTGCGCGAGGGTAGGCTCGACACAGGTTGTTTCGGGAAGGGACTGGAAGTTCATTTGCCAGTTGGTGTGCGTGGGTGGATCTTCAAAACGTACTACGGGTGGAGTGGACTGTTTGGGATTGGGGCTGCTGGGGTGGCAACATCCTCTGTAGAAGGCGATGTGCATCTGGACAATGCATATTGTATAGGAGGCAAAGGTACGGTCCATCACCGATTAGGCGATGGCCACCCTGTTGGATGAGGCGAGCCAGAGTGGTTTGTGCACGGGCGGACAAAGCGCTTGTAGATCACACAATGACATCTGGAGTCCAGCACTCGAGAGGGATTCCGGAGGAAGCCGAGATACTGCGATCCTCGAATAGCCAACTTGGAAACATATACCAGATCTCTTCAAGACATTGGACTTACGAGCACGTTCGAGGTGACGCAAGTAACTCATTATCGTTTTCCAGGCTAATGAAGCTAAGGAAAAAAGTTGACAGGACAAACCTCCAGCTCTTCAACAACATTCTGAAAACTAATGGTTTCGCGAGTAAACTTCTGTACCTTCTCCTCAGGTGATATACAAGGAAGAGCAAACAAGAGCAATTACAATGAAGTATGAACTCGGATGGAGAGCCAGTTAAATTTCGGTGAAAAAGGAGAAGGATAAAAATGTTACGAGTTCTGACTAACTGTCCATCAACCACCATTTTGTCGCACTCGCTGACTGGATAAGATCTGGTTACGTTGATGGACAGTTAGTCATAACTCGTAACATTTGTCCTTCTCCATTTTCACCATAATTTTATTGGCTCACCATACGAGCTCAACTTTGCACACCTTATGAGCCGCCATGACCTATACGGCAAAACGTGCGTCATGTGGAACAACTTGTTATTGCACATAACTAGTCTATTATATTTACATGATACAGTGTAGTGAAGTTCAGTAAAATGTTGACGTTTCGGTTTGTCACAATTCGTCTTCGCGTAGCTTCCCCTTTGTTTGTTTACTACATAAACTTGAGCCTCCCAAGTTGGGTGGTTTGTTGCGTCGTCGAGTTGTAGTAAGGCCGGTATGTCCAATAGTCTTATGAAGTACTAGTTTCGTCATCATCCAGTAACTTTTGGCATTCTTTGTTGCCGTGGCGCGTAGCTCGTGCTCTTTTTCGTTGCACTTTCCTTCCCCTCTTGGACCTTTGCGAACCTGAGCCTTCCAAGTTGGGAGGTTGTTGGTTTGTGCGCCTCGGAGAAGTGTTGGAGCAAGGAGTCAGGTCGCCGAATGTCTGAGTACTCCTGGTCAGTTTTGTGCCATTTTTGCCTCAACTCTGCTGTGATAGTTGCTAGGACTTCAATGTACATAACCAGGAGTGGCTCCACAGTAGCAGAACAACTAGAGGTGTCGAGCATGCAGAGGACATGTGCTACATGCAAGGTGTTGAACAGCTAGTCCACCAACCACCGCACGGCTGCAACACACTGGACCAGATGATGTCCGACCTACCCATAGAATCATTGCTTTCTGTCTTGCCACCTCTTGACAAATCTTACCATGCCTGTCTACTTGCCGACTTCCAGATTCGTGCATCACGCGAGCCTCCCATATCAAGAACTGTATGGAGGTATCAGCATGCTGATTGGGCCAGATTCCGTCACTTCCTCAGAACCACCAATTGGACAGCTATTGCTCGGACTGATCCAGACCTGTCATGCACTGGCATCTCAGAGAGGATTCTGGAGGGAATGAAGAGATTCATCCCCTCTAAAACCCTGAAAACCTGTGCATTAGATCCTCCATGGTGGAACCCTGAGTGCACTGTTGCCACAGTGAGGAAATGACGTGCATGGAGATGCCTGAGAGATGACCCGTCTGACGGCGATTGGCAGTCAGCTTACGAAGATGCTAGGCTTTCAACGGTTGCCTGTCTCAAAACTGCGAAGAGTGCCTTCATGGCGAAACTGAGACAGAAAATGACCTCAAAGCAGCTGCCACCCAGTGACTGGTGGCACACCGTCAAGTGTGCCTCTGGCAATGGGCGCAGTCAATCTGTTCCGATATTACGTGATCCCGATGGACGTGAGTACACAGCCAGGGGCAGACAAAGGAGAATGCATGGCCCGCTATATTGCAGGCAAATGCAGTCTTGGCCAAGATGACCTATCAGCTCCCTTCCCATAATTATGTCAATGGTGCGTTTAGAGGACTTTGGATGGTGCGAGGTGAAGTTAATGTAACGTCCCTTCTGTGTAAACTTCCTGTAGACGTTTGTTGAAACTCGTGAATTTGACCTCTGAATCCATACGTCTAGAAAGCAATTCCACCGTTGTCCTCTTCTTACGCGGTAAACTTTATGTCTGGCGTCGCTGAGTTCAAAGGTGAAATTCACCAAAAAGAAAGAAGTAAAAATGAAAGGAGTGACAGGTACATGATACTAAAGGTTAGAAGGAGAGACAGTACATTAGAAGGATGGGAAGGATAAGAAAGACAGTGTAAGGAGGAGAAGGAGAGAAAAGAAGGACACCTGTAATATGGAGGAGTATGTGGAGCGGAATTTGAATGTGATGGGGTGAGGCAGATAATTATGATGCTGATACTCAGAGATGATCATGTGCCCACCCACGATCAGTCGTTGTTCTTCAAATAGCGGTCGGCTGCAACCTTGAAATGTTGCAAGTTCTTGGTGCAGAATGAACCAGAGAAGACTCCAGCCGGCAGCTGGTTCCAGACGGGGCAACTGCGTGACGATAGGCTCGACACAGGTTGTCTCGGGATGGGACGGGAAGTTTATTTGCCTGTTGGTGTGCGTGGGCATTACATCTTTGAAATGTACTACGGGTGGAGTGGACCGTTTGGTGTTGGGGCTGCTGGGGTGGCAACATACTCTGTAGAAAGGGGATGTGCATCCTGACAATGTATATTGTAGAGGAGGCAAAGGTAGGTTCCCTCACCAATTAGGCGATGGCCACCCCGTTGGACAGCAGTGATGCGAGCCAGAGCGGTTTGTGTTGAGCTCATACACATGACCATGCCATACTCCAGCACCGGGCGGACAAACCGCTTGTAGATCACACAATGGCACCTGGAGTCCAGCACTCCATAGGGATTCCGAGGAAGCCGAGATGCTACGATCCTCGAATAGCCAACTTGGAAACATATACAAGATTTCTTGAAGACATTGGACTTACGAGCAAGTTTGAGGTGACGCAAGAAAACTCATTATTGTTTTCCAGGCTAAAGAAGCTAAGGAAAAATGCTGGCTATGTTTACAGGACAAACCTCAGGCTCTTCAAGAATATTCTGAAAAGTTAGGGTTTCGAGAGTAAACTTCCGTTACTTCTCCGCAGGTGATATACAAGGAAGAGCAAACAA